TTATTATTATTATTTGGTAAGTGTTTTACGGAGCGCGCAACTGCATACGGTCATATGAGCGCGCGGGACACGTTAAATTATTAACATTTTCAGTTTGCAGGAAATTTGGAACTTTTCCCGGGTGGCGGCCGAAGCCTACTCTTATCGATTTTGGACCACTAAGGGATCTTTAAGTTGCACAACTTGCACACGGGACCTCCGAGACTTTTCGCCCTTGTTCGAGGAGGATAGGTGTAGATCTTTCCTACCAGAAGATCAGGGGTGTGGCAGAAAGACAGCAGTAAGAAGCAGCCAAGAAGTACCAGTAGAAAGGCTGCGAAAGAGTCAGGAGCCAAGAGGAGGGTGGAAAGGAGGTGAGGGGGTGGGGGAAAAAGTGGAGACGAAAGCAGGCGACAGATAATTGTTAGAGAGCAGGAAAGGAAGTGAAAGGAGACAATTTTAGAGAAGAAAAGAGTCCGTTGCTATCCCTATTCGAACCCAAGACCTTTTGAATGAGAGGCGAACACCTTAACCTCTAGGCCACGAGAGTCCCCGTGCGTAAGATTAGAAGTGTTACCATACAGAGAGTTACAGTTTCTAAAGGAAGTTTAGTTTTAGTAAGAGTTTTACGGCACTTGCAACACAATAAGGTCATATAAGTGCCGAAGACTAGAGGTCTTACAAGAGAGTAACAAACATAAAACAGAAGGAGGAGAGATCAGGACGACAGATGTTTGCTAGGAAAGAAGGAGCAAACCACACCAGAGCACCCGCCAACCACCCACTTTAAAGGAAGTAGGGCAGATGGGGACGATAGACGTTTGATAGGAAGGAAAGATTGTGAAAACCACACCTGAGTGCTCGCTAACCAGTCATAAGACAAGATTGTTTGCTCTTCCATGATATGTGTCACGATGTGGTGGAATCAGGCGCTCGTCCAATTTATTTTGGGCATGTGGAGTTATTGGTATTGCCTTAACGCTTGTTCATTTGTCTTACTTGCGGTGAAAGAAATAACCATTTGTGAAGTGTGCTGACAAAATGAGTTACTTCTCGGAATCAAGCCCTAATGAAATAGATACATACTTTATGCTTATAGGTACAGTTTTTATAATTTATAAGTATGAAATAAATAGGTGTGTTATACATAACTAATAGGGCATTCAATAGAAAATCGACTAATTTGACCTTTGTGTTGATTTTTGGCAAAGTCTCCCTTTGTGGATTGCGAGAAGTAACTCATTTTGTCAGAACGCTTCACATTTATCTTGAATACAAGTCAAGATATTTGCAATTGAAGGAGGTGGGGTTGCCTGGTTTCCGAGGCAAAATAAGCAAGAAAATGGCTGCCAAAGTTTGGTTATTTACATAGACCGAGAATCCGTGAAAACAGACAATTTACTTTTTTTTTTTTTGACTTTCATCAATGTATTTCAATAAAACCCACACAACAATCGGTTCTTAATTGAACATAAAAGTTGTTGAGCAAAAAAAAAAAAAAAAAAAAAAAAAAAAAAAAAAAAAAAAGGGGGAAAATTTCGATGAAAATGACCAAACCAGCGGAAAAGTGAAAGTTTCTTAACTTTCATAATTTTGACGAGCGCCTGATTTCACTACGCTGTCTCACATATGATAATGACATATTATCTTATCTGTGGGTATCCTACTGAACTTTACCCGTTCTTCTTGAGATTTGAACGTCACAGATGTGTATGCTCAGTCGTCTTTGCCATTGATACGTATTTAAGGGGATGGGGAAGGGGAGGGGGAGGGAGAGGG